TAGAACTTTGTTCACACCATGGACACCTACTTTCGCCCGAATGAAAAGTGGCTTGAGATGATTCTTCATTGTAGGCTCTGGACGTTCGAAGAACGCATTTTGTTCTTCAACAGCCCCATTGTCCATCACGTAGTAGCATACGGGCCTATGTTTCATTAAATCTGTGGTGTCTTCTTCCTCATATTCATTGATTTCGGTTTCCTGCCCGAATTCGCAGGGAAGCACAGACACTACGTTACAGTTCAGGTTAAATGAAGACTCCCCCTCCGATTCGAAGTTATCTGTTATCATATCTTCGTCCTCTTCCGGGCCTGGAGTGTATTCCTTTGGTCCGTCTTGTTGGTCTTCAGAAAAAAGCCTTCTGTTGACTGGAGGTTTCTCTTCCGTCTGACTTTTTGGTTTGTTGGTGCTCGATTCACCTTGTATCTTTGTTGAAGTATCCCCTTTGTTTGCCACAGCTTCTCTTTCAGCCTTTCGAATTCTTTGCTGTCTGCGCCACTGGGATCTTGACATGGGGTTCCTTCCTTTGTAATTTTCTAATCTGACTTCCTCCCTTTTTTGTGTGTTGAATTGCCTCCTGTATGTCACAGCATGGCGTGCATTTCGTTCAGCATTCCTCCATTTGTCTTTGCCTTTGTCATTTCTGGCTTGCAGCCATCTATCGGTTGGTACTTCAGCAGGGAGTTTGAAAGTCACTCTTCGAGCAACTTTGGGGTGAGGGCTATCAGGTCTTCGCTGTTTGTATCTGCTGTCGAAACGCGGACCCATCTGGGCAGTTTCTTGATGGCTCCAGCAAGGGGCGAAGGGGATCGTTTCGAAGGCCCTAGCCATGCTTTGGTCATACACAGCAGAACATCTTGGGCACACCAAGCACTTAGTTGCCCCCTTGTAGCAGCGAAAAACAAACTCCAACAAACTCTCTCCAGCCTTGGGGTAGCATCTAAAAAGTTGGTTATCCTGGCGCCAATTGTTGCCAGTTCGAGCCCTCTGTACCCTTTCGAAATTTGCAGCAATTCTTTGGTTGCAGAGGATGCTGCACCTAGGGCACAGTATCATGCCTGGATCTCCTTTGTGGCATGACATGAGATAGTCTTTGAGAGTATCATCTCCAGTGTGATTGTCCCCCATCCTATGCTTTTCTTTTTCTAAGTATTTTTCCACTTCCTTCATCTCAGAACGGGGTCTTTCCATGTCCACCATATTTATTTCCACATCCCCCTCTTTTGTTTCGTCATCGCCCCATCCTGTGGGCTTTATATCTTCGATCTGGACCCTCGAACTTTCTGGGGCAGAATATTTGACCAGATAGTCATATTTTCCACTGGGTTCCCCTAGAGTGTCCCATATTTCCTTCTGAGAGGGGACTGGCTGCGTAATTTGGACTTTCTCTAATTCCAACCTCAAGCCCTCAGTGACTTGTGTAAATCCTTCGTTGTGATCCCCTTGGCCTTCAGTAGCCTGGGTTTCTCCTGCAACAGCCACAGGTCCAGCAATCGAAGTGTCTGGTGTATTCTGGATGCCTTCAATGACTTCCTCGCTGACTTCGACCATCACCCAGTTTTCGACTCCAATGTCCTTCTCTCCTGTTAGGGTGTCGCTTCGATCAATTTCCACCATGTTGACTTCTCCAATGCATGCAGGCTCGGAGTAGTTGGTGTCTGCGACGTCCAAAGGATCTTCGTCCACTTTCATCTTCACCTTATCAGCAAACTTTAATCTGCCATCTTTGATTGCGTTTTGAATCAAATCCCTGAAAAGAAAACATTGTGAGGTCTTGTGGCCTAGGAAACTATGATATTTGCAAAATCCCCTTTTCTTCCTCTGGTCCAAAGGGGGTATTTTGACATTTGATGGCACAATTAGTTGGCCATCTTTGACAAGCAAGTCAAAGATTTCGTCACATTTAGTGACATCGAAGGTGTAAACCTTCTTTGGAAACTTATCACTTTTCTCATTTTCAACAATATCTTTCCCTTTCGTAGGAACTAACATTTTGCAGGAGTAAGGCGGGGCCTGTTTTAATTCAGCGAGGTCGATTTCGACCTCTTCGAATTCGAATTCAGGATATTCTTCTACTTCCTCAGTTCCAACATAGGAAATCCTTTCTTTCTTATTATTCTTAAAGACTCGGGCTTTTTCGGCTTTTAGTCTTTCGACCTGTCGAACCCTATCGGCTAACTGAGCCATATCCCTCAAATGCTGAGTATCTAATTTCTTTCGAATAGAGTAATCCAATCCCCCAGCGGCCATTTCGACTAACTCATGCTCAGGCACTACTGTGTAACATCTGGATTTTAACAGCCTAAATCTATTCAAATAGTCATCAATGGGTTCAGTGAACTTTCTCTTAACACTGGCCAATTCCTTCAGACTTATTTTCGATTGTCCCATGTAAAATTGTTCATGGAATAATCTCTCTAAAAGGGTCCAAGTGTCAACAGACCCAGGAGGCAACGTGGTAAACCAAGTGAAGGCATTTTTTGTCAAGGAACTTGGGAAATATTTGATTCTGAGATCTTCATTATTGGCTATATCCCCCGCTTCGGTTAAATATCTCGCTATGTGTTCGACTGTTGACTCGTTGGTATCCCCAGCGAACTTTGTAAATTTAGGGACTTTGTATCCCCTTGGTAAATCAGTATGCATTATACAATCTAATATAGGAGAAGCGTAATTTGGCCTCCTCATTCCCATATTGAGGCCGTTTTGGGTCATGATCCTCTCTATCATGGTGGTCAGATTATTTTCTGCCAAGATGTTATCGTTTCGAATCCTATGAACGACAGCATCGGCATCTTGGTTTCGACCAACCAAAACAACTCCCCTAGGTTGTTCTCCTCGAAATTCTGGGGCTTCTGGTCTTTCGATCCTTGCCCCTGGTTCCATAACTTCCCTTTGTGGGCCCGGAATTATTGGGGCTTCTAACCTTGGTGCTCTGGCCCCTAAGTTAACCTCTTCTCTGGGTGGTCTATGAATTGGGTCGTTGGCGATTTGTTCTATAACAGGCACGTTTGTTCGAAATCCCGCCTGGTTCTGCCTACGCCTTTCTGTGGGAGCAAAGAAATCTGCTATTCGACTCATATTGTCAGCGTTTTCCCTGTTCGTCACAGTCACATTCTGAACTATTGGGGCGAATATTTCCTGCATGGTTTGCGCTAACACCCCTATCATATTGTGGTTGCTGTCATCCATCAATTGCCTAAAAGCCAACTGGTTATCTGTGGTTAGGATAGGCAACGTGCTATAACCCACTGACCCTTGGTTATTTGACATAAATTGGTTTGCCCCAGACCCAGATCCTAGTTGTGGGGATGAATTCGATGTGGAATTGTGTAAACCTGCCATAAAAGATGTTGGCATTCCGTAAGAAGAACTTCTAATTCTATTCCCATCGAAGCCGGGTGGTCTAGTTGATGGAGTGGCGAAATGGGATTGTGTCCCAGGTGGCGGAACGAATCCCCCAGGGTAGCCCATAGTTCCAGTATTTCCTAAGATCGAACTGTTGGTTGATATGCCACCTACTCCGTTGGTGGCCATGTTACTGGTTGAAGATGCAACAGCCTGTGCATTCGAAGGGATTACATTAGATGCTCCGCTCGAAATGGACGCGTTAGTGCCTGTTGCCTGTGGGCCACCTTGGTCTCCCTGTTGATTGTCTGAATTAGACATTTTGTCCAAACGTTTTCTTCTGGATAAAGGTTGGTTGCTGTTGGTTATCTTACCACTTCTCAGGTTCATAAAACAGCAAACTTCTTAGGTTCCTACGTTTCTGGGATGGCTATGTCTCGACAATCCTTAATTCTGATATCCAACTATTGGTCACACTGAAATCCTAACACTAAGACTTCTATTTATACTAACTCGACCCTAACGGTCTCGCTACAAGATCATGCCACGTTTCGAACATGCAAGACAATGCTCCTCTCATCTTTCCACGTGTCCCCAAATGCTCCAACACATAACTTTCAAACTTTGAAAGTCCCGCTTTCATTTAAATTTTAAATGCTTTGGTGTTTCTCTGTTTCGAACGCTCTTCTCAGACCTAGCTTCGCTGCTGTTTCGAGACCCCTTTGGATACGCTCCCATGATCACCGTTCGAAGCTTCAAGCTTTGACACACTCATTCGAAACACTGCTTCTGCAATTTCGAAGCGTGGTGTTTTAATTCCATTTCGATCAGAACTTCTAGCTCTTTTTGAATTCTAAATAACACTATCAAAATCTTCAGCCAACAGCTTGTCAAAAAGGGAAACAAACAAAATCAACTTTCAAATCTAAGAATGTGGTGTCTACTACAAGGCGACTACAATTGTTACATATGGACTTATTTAGTCCATCAAGAACAAGAAGTTTCGAAGGTAATGTATATGCTTTAGTTATTGTTGACGATTTCTCTAGATATACTTGGACCTTGGACATTCATTTTAGTGCAGAAAAGTGATGCATTTAAGGCGTTCAAGAAGTATGCTAAACAAATTCAAAATGAAAAGTCTCTAACAATTGCCTCCATAAGAGAGAGAGATAGATAAATATATAACTGTTTATTATATAAATGAATATCACAAAATTTATTTAATAAATATTTTGAATTAAAATTAAAATAAAATATAAAAAAAAAAAGATATTTATGTTTTGATGTTGTACATATTAAAAAGCGGACAAACAAACACTCCCGTGTTGGTTTGAACGCTAGTAATGAATAAAGAAGTTATTGTATGATATCCTACCACCTACTTATCTATCTATACTTTTCTTGCAAAGAATTTAAGAACATGTACATTTTCAAAATGAAAGAGAAAATGCACCATTGCAATTTCATTTATTTAAACATTGAAATATTGCAATGGACTGACCTTGAGCTTAAGTTCCTAACCATAATCTCTCTTGAAAGTTAACCTCTAATTTTATTTGTACAATAAGGTCACACCATTGAAATGTGAACGATCTTTAATTTCTTCTTGATGAATTTGTACCATACCTCATTCAAGCATGTGGGCCTAACTACACCATACCCAACACTTTTTGACCCACCAAATCACATCGTACATGAGCCAGTCCAACCCTAGATTGCACAAGATCAAACTCCATCCACATATTTTGTTGTTGATGATGTCCAATGATAAATGACTCAACACCTAGCAGATCCGAGTTCCCGAATGTGAAGCAATACACCGAATCATTCCCTAATACTCGATTTGGAACTCGATATAAAAGTTGATCACCCGAAACCTTCATTTCGGATCCTTCGAAAACTAAACTCACACTTGATAATTCGGGTAACTTCGATTGATTTAACGGAACACGATAACAAAGATCCATTGCTTCTTGAAACACAAAATCTGAGTTGTCCAAGACCCGCAAAGTACTATTTGTTTGATTAAGAAACTCTTCTCGCAATACACTATAAACCGGCCCAAGTAAAAACGTAAATTGAGTACCTAAATCAAACATGGTCTGACCCGCTCCAGTATGATCTGGAGCGAGCATATCATTTGATAAATTAAGTAATTTCTCCGAAACCTTAATTCCGATTAACCGAACCGTATAAGCGGCTCGGTCAAAATAGGGTAAAGGAATGGATATTCGAAGCAAAGGAGTATAATTCAATGACCCGACCCACGAGAAATTGGATCCTCCGAGAAGTAAAATACCCGATAAATCAGAACCCGATATACAATACGAGAATTTAGGTATCTTAAGCTGAGAAACCAAAGAGAGAGACCCGAGATTCATACCCATTAACCCGGTTGTATTAAAATCTCCATCAGAGTTTGTGCTAACACTTGACTTCATACATCCGAATACAGTTCCCGGGTTATCGGATCCTCCAAACCCGAATGAATCAGAAGCAAGGTTCCCTTCAGAGGAAGAAAAATCTGCATATGAAAGAGTAGCATGGCAGAGATTGTTGGAGTCACATGAAGCGGGTATAGGAAAATCTCGGGTTCGGGTCGTGCAGGTTGATGAAGAACACGAAATGGGTTTGTAGGAAGAGGAAGAATTCGGGTTAAAAAACGGGTTTTGTGAAACCCGGTTTGTGGTGGTGTTGTTATTGCAATGAAGCCATGAAAGTTCACTTCCTGTGTCGATTACTAATGACACGTTTTGAGGGGGGGTGCCAACAGTAATTGAGACAGTGAGAGAAACATTGTGATGAAAACGAAGCTTGTTTGGTGGTCTTGGAAGATACCCAGATGAGATAACTTGTGATTTGAGTGGTAAAGTTAGTATCTTTGTTTGTGTTATGAGTGGTAACGTTTGTAGAATGAAGAAAGTGAGAATTTTGAGAAATGGGTTTGTAGGAATGGTGCATCTCAATGATCTCATTATGTTGTTTTTTGAGGTTTTTTTAATATTTTTTTAATGTTGTTGCAAATGTGTGACAATGGTTTGGTTTGGATTTTATGTTTGGTGAGGAGTTAAATGATGGGTACGTTTTGAGTATATGAAAGATAATGAGAATTACTTGATGTTGTTAACTTATTGGTAAGAATTTCTATGGTTTGTTTTACTACACAAGAAAAAGATCTAACAAATAGTTGAGATGAAATTTATCAAGGAAGGTACAACAAAACTTTGGTTGTGCCTTAGATCACTATACCAACATAATTCTGTTTTATTAGGCATAGAGTGTGCTTTTCTCAATATTACTAATTTGAATTTTAATAGTTGTTAATAATTTTTGTGTTGGATCGTTTATATAAAATTTTACTTTGACTTTAAATAGTCTCTATTAATGATCAGATAGAATAGAATTGATTATTTTAAATTAATCGCTCGCAAGACTAGATACTAAAATTTAAAAAAAAACATACTTCTTTTTTTGTTTACTGTTTTGTTTGGTTTGTGTATATTCATGAATAAATCAATGTATGTATTTGATTTCATGTGGTATTCTGTTTCACGATGCGATTCTGTGGTTGCTTTCAATATAATTATAATAATTAGTAGCTGCTAATGTTATACATGTTAGCTGTCTCTAGTCTTTAGAAGAATAACATAATATTGGAAGGCTATCTTGGAAGATTAATTAGGTCCAATTCATTTGTTTATTTTGACAATATAAAATTTCAGATCAAGGTTTAATGGTCGTTTGGCTTATAAAATGAGTCATATTAGTATATATTAGTAAGCATTTTAATACAGAATTTGTACTTTCATCACAAATGGTTACTGCCAGGTTGCAAAGTACCATATTGGTTACTGAATAATTGGAAAGAATATAATGATGATGGCACACTGTTATAAAAGGCATGGCTTCAATTGCAGCTTTTGCTTTTTGTTGTACATGTGAAGAAATTATATATTGAGACAAAGTACCTAATGCTTTGCTTGATCAGGAAACTGATTTTTGAAAAATGATTCTGCTTATTAGACTTTTATTAAATTAGAAAAAGTATACCCCTCTAAGATGTGATCTAGTTTGAACTTTGTTGTGGATGTTGACTTTTTCATTATGTGTATAAGTTAGTGGAATTTTTCCCTTCACTTTTACGTGTTTTTAGCCACCTCTAATGAAATTTCGTTTTTATTTTTAAAATTCGGAGATATATTTTTGAATGTACAAAATTTATATTTTTGGGGTTATTTAGGATATATATTGTCGAAATATTTTTTTTTCAAAATCAGGGGTGTTCAGGGATACATCTCCGAAAACCCCTCTGAGGAGTTTCAGAGATGCATCTCTGAAAAAAGGTCTGGATTTAATTTATTTTTTTTAATTTTCAAAGATGTTCTTGTTCGTTCGCTTACCTTTGATTTGATTAATAATTATTTGTTTTTTCCAGAATAATGACAGAGAGTCCTAATAAATCGAGACTTGGTAGACCTAGCAAAACTGCATCAGTTCGACGAGAGAGCTGAGCAGAATACGAGTCGTCGAGGACACAGTCGAGTACTGCAGATGGAAATGGAGGGAACATCTACTTCTGCTTCGAGGAGTCGACTTTCACGCGCGTCCTCGTCTAGGAATTACGGGGAGGAGGAACCTGAGCGAGTTCAGGTTCCAAAACCCGAAATGGTTGATGTTCTGAAACCCGAGGATGAGGCTAACCCGGGTTTTGCAGGAGGGCCTTCTGACACCTCCCTCTTGATCTATTACACCGATCATGTTGCTCGATATGTTTCAGAGGGACATGTATATTAATTTTTGTTACACTTTTTATTTTAATGATTTATGCACTTATATGTTAAAATTGATATTAAATATTAATCTTTACTAGAACGAAGGCCACTAAAGTGCATGAATCAAACGCGAAAGATATCCTAGCTATATCACTTTGATGAGGCTTGGTTTAGAGAGGCCATTTTTGCCTCCAGACTTGCCGGTCTTTATTTGTTAGATGGTCGACTATCTGGGAGCTGAACCAAAAAAGAAATTTAAGCAGTGTTCCTCCATCAATGGTGCTCATGCCAAGTTCTCGTTCCTTAAGGAGTTATATCAACAACACCTCTCTGCGGCAGCTAATTCCCAGTCAGAGGGAGATAACTTCTTTGTTCTTTATCACCGTCAGTATGCTCTGAGGTGTTACTTCATGTTCTTGGTTGGCAGATCCATTTTTATGGACAAAAGCGCAAACTATGTGGATGTAGCATACCTTCAGTACTTCATGGATTTGGATATAGTGAGGCAGTGGAACCAGGGGGCCGGTTGTTTGGTATACCTGTATCAAAATCAAAATGAAGCCTCTAACTGGTGGACACGACGACTGACAGACTCTGCTAAACTGCTGATGGTAGTTATCATTACAGGGCTAGATCATTTCACACTTCCACCGCATCCATGGTTTTGATTATGCTCTAGATTATTTTGAGCACATGTCGAGGGATGCTTGGTATGCCCCCCACAGAGGGAACCAGGTTGTGCTGCCATTTCAGATGTATCTGGATAAGACTGTCCATGATGACATCCTATGAACACTGTTCGAGGATCACTGAGAGATTATCTAGTTCGACTCTATCTCATTGTACTCTGGGTGGCTGACATGTGGGACTAACACTATGGTCAGGTATCTTCTGAAGCGGTGCATGCGGAAGTTTGGCTATGTGCATACCATATCCAGATCTCCCTTTCAGGATGCTCCCGACACCATTGTCCTCCAGGAGCTCGATGGCGTATTTCAGGATCGGGAGCATCATTTGGTGCCTGAGGAGTGTCGGATGATGTAGGCATCCAATAGTTGACATTGTGTTGAGGCATACATGACATGGTTTTATATAGTGTCATATTCTATCATAACATCAGATGCTCATGAACATCCACCTAGGCCAGCTAATGAGGAGATCTTAGAGAATCAGTAGACCAAGGATGACCATGTCATTGATCTCTTGCCGATCTATCAGTAGATACAGATGATTGGGCAGGAGGCTTTGGATATAAGTATCAATGACTGGGATGGTCCTGAGGCGGTGACCATTGTAGAACGGATGGTTGGGGAGGCATAAAATGCGGCAGGATATAGTAGATAGATGAGGGGCCATGAAGTGAGGATCAGACATACAGCGTAGTGTTGGCTGAAGATTTTGATGGTACAGTTCGAAGCGAAGCAAGTTAGATGTTTCGTTGGAATAAAGCAAGATGTCATGTTTCGAAATGATAGAAGCAGTGCTTCGAATGGGCATGTCAAAGCTCGGGGCTTCGAGTGACAGTTATGGGGATATATTCAAAAGAAGTCTCGAAGTGGTAACAAGGCTATGTCCAAGAAATGAGTTCGAAGCGAAGAGTGCCAAAACATTTGAAATTCAAACACAAGCGGGATGTTCGAAATTTAAAATATATGCGCTGGAGCATTCGAAGACGCGTGGAAGCAAGAGAGGGGCATTGTTTTGCATGTTCTGAACGTGGCAGAATCTTATAGGCAAGACCGTTATGGTCGAAGTAGTATAAATAGAAGTCTTAGCATTAGAATTTAGTGTGTCATATCTATTATACAAAACTTCAGTAAACATTCAAAATACCACATGACTAGGGAAACGAATGCTCGAACAATGTACGTATGATAACACCAAATGTTTATGATTCAATAAAAATCTTTATCATTTCCAGTTTATCCTCTTTCTTCATGTCAATACCATTCAAAAGCCTTTACATTAAAGTATTTTCATTCGAAATCTTTTACCGATGCCTTGCATTTAAATGTTTTCTTTCTATTTTAAATCCTTTACATTTCAGAAACTTTTGTATATTTCATACCTTTATCTTCATGCTTTTATCATTCGAACACTTTTTTCATTTAAAGTCATTTTACTGATTTCTTGCATTTAAACGCTTTCTTTATATTTCGAGTCTTTTACATTCCAGAGAATATTTTACATTACGTGTTTTTATACTTCAAAGTTATTTACTTGTCTTTTTGCAGTTTTACATGTCTTTACAATTGAACCTTTATTCATGCAATTTAGTTTCGCACATATTTACTTGATCATGTCATTAGATCTTTAATAGAGTAATCGAAGTAAGTTGAACACCTACACAATATTCCAAATACCAACCATGAATATCAGTTCTATAATGAGAAATATCCAAATGACCAATACACCATAGGATCAATCTAGTCGATCCTGCAAGTTACCAGAGAGATTAAATAACAGTCATTAAGATTATTTGATAGTTTGGAGGACTAGCGGTTGTTTACCAGAAATAACTGTAAACAAATTGGCACACCCGGTGGGACACGTCATTGGTCATTACGAAATTTAGAACAAAGTAAAAAATTGTTGAGACATAACCATTGTAAAAGTACTCTCTGAGTGATAAGTTTGTTGTTATATGAACCTTAGAAGTGGTAGAATAACCAATAGCAACCAACCCTTACCCAGAAGAAAACGTTTAAACAAGATGTCTAATCCAGACAATCAACAAGGGGAACAAAGTATCCCACATACAACAGGCACTAATATGTCCGCTTCGATGGGAACATCTAATGTGATCCCTTCGAACGCACAGTCTGTTGCATCCTCTACCAGTAGTGTAGCCACTAATGGAACAAGTGGCATGTCAACTAACAGTTCGATCCTAGGAAATACTGGAACCATTGGTTATCCTGGGGGATTCGTCCCACCATCAGGGACATAAACCCATTTCGCCACCCCACTAACTAGACCACCCGGGTTCGATGCTAACAGACACAAACTCTTCTTATGGAATGCCAACATCTTTTATGGCGGGTCTGCACACTTCGACATTGAATACGTCACCACAATTAGGGTCTGGGTCTGGGACAAACCAATTTATGACAAATAACTAAGGATCAGTGGGTTATAGTGCAATGCCTATCTTAACCATAGAAAATCATTTGGCCTTTAGGCAATTAATGGATGACAGTAAC